TTCACTGACCGTCTCCCACTGAAACATATAAAACTTTGTGAATATTGGCAGTTAGATTATGTAAATGAACAAATTACTTGGTAGCTTCATTATACCACTATGTTGGTATTTTTAATGTCTATTGCTTTTCGCACCATTCAAGAACAATAGTAATAATTTATTGGTCGATCAGGACCCTTGGTACCAAAATTTTTTTTTAAGTGTTTTTAGTTAATGAGGGCAAAGCCACTTTAAACAGGCGTATATAAAATGACAATTATCATTTAATATAAAAGCAAAAAGAATGTACACGATACAGAGGAATAACACCTGAGTCCTCAGGATTGGGAGCGTCATGGACGAAGCAGTATACTATATTATGTACTGCTCATGTCTATAGGCGACGGTTACCAATTTCCATCAAGTGGGCCGTCAGCTTGTTTGGCATTCTAATTTGCATAAAAAAACCATTTAACTAAAAAATGTTAGTAATAAAATAGTCTTTAATGTTGCAGATCAATACTCTAACAACATTGAAGGTTAAACGTCATTCAAGTCGATATACCTACCTATCTAGGCATCCTCTTGCAGTTTATGTGTACACATTGCAACAGGATTTTTGTACAGTATACGTTCTAAGAAATACATACTGACGTAATAGCATTTTAAAGTATTATGAAATTTGGTATACTCATATATGGAATGGAAAAGGTTATAGGCTACTTTCTATCCAGGTCAATAAACATATCGCAGTAACGTGGACAGAGTCGCGGATAAAAGGTAGTATCAACATAATCTCCTTTTTAGCCAAAATATCTAATATACCTAAGCACTCGTCACCTTCACCGGTAAACATACATCATTAAATTCAACTAATTAAGTTTATTCCATAACTAAGATCCCATGGCTCTACCCGCGTGAATCAGTACATAAGTAACTATGTGCTAATTCAGAATATAAGCTATCAGTGCACGAAATTTCATTCAAATCCATTCAATAGTTTTTGCGTGAAAGAGTCGTTACAAACTTTTACATTTAATATATTAATAGGATACTAAATAATCTACGGTTATTCTTTCATTTTCTATAGCGCTATTTTGGTTACACGTAAAATTTGTACAAAATCTACTTATATGTTATTTCTTATACGTCTACTCCAAATTGATTTTGTTCGCGCAAAAAAATACTTGAGCCATAACAAAATTTATACATTTATTTATTATTTGTGAACGTTATATATATGTTACGTTACGTTGTTATATATATCTGTGATATCACAGATACCCTACAACGACTTGTTTCGTAGATACCTGTATTGTAAATATGGTGTGTTTAAATATAGATTTTTCTATGCAACAAGCGGTTCCGTAAAGAAAAACGACAATTGAAATTAAAATAGAATCAACAAAGTAGTAAAGTCTATCGATTCAGTTCACTTGAATCAGGATTCACTTGTGGATCCACGAAACGTTTTTTTCTTACTGAATAATCCACATTTAGATCTAGAAATATTTTGTTTTCCTTTTTGATCCACGAATAGATCAATAGATAATTTTGAGCCGGATGAGACGATAATCAAAAATAATTGCAAAAAAAAACAAACATAACGAGAAAATCCTTCATTTAGAAATCACTTAAAAATACAGACAAATTACAACCTTCTTTTTTAAAAGTGGCTTATAGTTAAACATTCGTTTTAAATGGGAAAATTTTCAGTTTTTAACCACTTGATGATTAAATAAGTAATGATCTAAGACATTATTTTTATAGTTTCAATATTACATTATTGAGAATATTACGACGGTCATTATGCGTAAAGCCATTTTACATTTAAATATCTATTGTGTAAGGTGATATGAGTTCTTTTACTAATATTATTTATTGCCTTTTATTAAACATAATTTGAATAGAGCTTAAGAAACAACTGTAAAAATACTATGTAAAGTTACAATGTAACAGTAGTTACGTCAATACTATATTAACAAATTAACCTTGTAAATAAATAAGTCAAATGCCCCCATTGTTTAACAATAAGATAATATCTGCACTTTATTGGTATTGGCATCCATGTTTACACTCCACTAAATTAATATAAATTATAATACAAGAAATAAACGTAAAATAAACTTTTACTTTTACTGAAAAAGACTTCTTGCAGATTAAGTTCACCTTTGCTTACATTATTTCTAATTGTTACTTTTTTAAGCTATATTAATTACAGTGAAAAACTCCAAACATTGCTTAATAACGTAAGACCATATTATAGACTTTTATCTTCATACTTGATGATGTTGTACATGTACAGATGTCACATAATTTACCGAACGCTACCAAACGAAACACCAAGTTCAACTTACTCAGTCTGACAAGTGACTTAACATACAAATATTCGTCGACAACTTTGATCATACCGTAACCAATGTAGGTATGACATAATATTAGTCTCATTCATATTAAAAGCAATCTTTTGAGAAACACTATTGGAGATCATGGAGCGTTTAAATCTTCCGGGAATTCTGCCATGATAACTATCGCCGGCAAATCGAAAGTGAATAATGTATTCACAATTAGCATTTATACGAGTACGGTATCCTTTTAAGTTTTTTAAAGAAACATTACATATCTTTATTACAATGAGCTCAGCACTAATTGATAAAAAATTTTTCAGCCGTTATTTCTCCACTGCTGGACATAAACCTCCCCCATAGACAGCCATAAAGAACGGTCCTGAGCCACCTGCACCCACTGACTCCCTGCAATGCATTTCAGGTCGTTACTCCATCTTGTCAGGAGTCGTCCTATATTGCGTTTGCCGGTACGGGATCGTCACTCAAGAACCTTTCTTCCCCATCTGATATTTGTTCTTCGAGCTGCTTCGAGAGCTAGTTGATATATTTACTTACAAATGGCAAATTCAATATAAATCTGCATTATTTTTGTAAATACAACTTATACCAGACTTTATACCAGAGCAAGATTTTGTACAAAATTCGTTTGCTTGAGTACCTCTGTCCCATTCGTGTTTCAACCGTAAAGCAGTTGTATTTGTATGGCTGTGTTTCAGGTTGATAGGTGAGATATGGCAGTCGTCATCATATCGGTTGTTTACTGTCGACTGTAGAGCACAGACCTCCCCTGGAGTTTTGCTAGTAGTTGTTACTCTTAGCAGGCGTGTTGACAACCGCATTTAAACGTTGGTGATGTTTTTAGAGAGGCGCTGCTGCTCGTCCCTCGACTACTATGTTCCCTTAGTTACCTTTTATGATACCCACGGGAAAAATAAATTTGATTAATAATTATATATTCTGACTAAAAAGTATAAAGCATTACTGTATCAAAAATGTTTACGCAACATTTGATATTTTCTACAGTCTGTTTTATTAGTATAAATTTCGCATTTCACACCACACAAACTGGGAAATTTAAATAATTTTCCTTATTTCTCAGAAAGATTAATAATAAAGATTTACTTCCTTATTCATAAAAACGTCAAACCTCTCATAACCCTTAGCACTGGTTTATCCCTTTCTTTTGAGTTAGGAGTGAATTCCCAATTTGAAAATGACAAAATAGTGCAATAGATAAAATAGATTTATAGAAAATATTAGTTTATATGAATAAGGAGGAAAATATTTACAAAAGTAAGATGAAATATTTCTTAGAATACTTACATATAACATACATCATACTGGGTAATTTCAAGCTGAACGCGTGCTTATCAAATGGTCACTACGTCATTATCATAATTATTGTTTATGTTTTCTTAGGATTTCTTCATCTATTTCTTTTTTAATTCAAATCCTTAAAAATATTGTACCAAATTTGTTTTTTGGGTAAATCCGTATAGATATTTGTTCATTTAACATTCTTTATTATACGTCGACTTTATTATAGCCGTGTGGCTCCGGCATAGAATAGGCCACCCCTTCCTTTCCCGTGGGTGTCGTAAGAGTTGACTAAGGGAGAGCGAGGGATAGGCAGCAGCATCCCTCTTATATCTCTATATATATATATATATATATATATATATATATATATATATATATATATATATATATATATATATATATATATATATATATATATATATATATATAATATGCAATTAAAAAGGTTTTACATAGTACTACTTCCTCATGGTTCCTACTCATTCATTCCTTAAAATTATCGTAGTTTATTCTTGATAAATTGGATACGATAGGCCGAAGTCGGCCTAGCCAAGTGACTTCATCCCTATCATACTCACTCACTCAACTCCACAAAAGTATACTATTAGTAGGAGGTTATTATTTAATTTTCATTAAAAAAAAAACAGTAGATCATAGCGCAAACCCTGCTTAGTTTAAAACTAAACGGCTCTCTTTTACCGTTCTATATTTTACTTTATTCTGATTTATCGTTTGAAGATACTTTAAAGATTTATATCTATAAACTATACAAAAGATATGAATATATCTATAAACTATATACTATGCTTTTTTGTACATATTACTTATGCTCACCGACCGGTTTCGCCTTTTCTTGACATTATCAAGGTGTCAATGCAAAAAAGTGAAACAGTACAAATAGGTAGGTATATGTTTTTTTTCTAAGTTATATACACTCTAAGTTTGGCCAAATGTAAGGAATTAACAATACCATGATATTATACATGATATTAACAATACCATATTATTATATTATTATTATAATCTTTCTTGACTAAGTATTATATACATAAAGACTACGAACCTTTATGGGACTAGTATATTACCCTGTCAGGTCGACCTGCACGTGATCTCTCCTGGAATCCATCATACTGAATTCAATGATGTATTCCTCACGATAGGTTAACTGACCTGCCTTTCCATTCTCACCTACCAACCCTCACTGGTGCCCCCCAGCATATATTGTTAGCGTAAGCGGAGTTACCATTTCATAACCATCCATTAAAAAAAATACCAATCCCAATGAATCAACATGTTTCAGACGCGAAAACGAAGACACGGATAAAAGATAGTATACAAATAAAACTCTTGACATTTCTTCATTGTTTATATATTTATTTTCGTATAAAGTTGTCGAATTCATTAAAAACATGTATTTTCCTCCGAAATTTCAGTAAATCTGAACTGTCACGTTTCTTTACAAATTCTAAGAATATTGGAATTTGTTTTGTAAATATTTTTATTATTATTAATGACTGATGTACAGAACTTGACCATGGATTGTTCAAATATTACATGAAGCTATTTTTTTATAAGTATTACTCGTACATTTATCATCATCATCATCATGTCAACCTTTAACTGTCACCTGTTGAATATAAACCTCCCCTAGGAGAAGTTTCGTGAGTAGTTGCCATGCTTGGCAGGCGGATTGGCAACCACAGTCAGGCTTTGGAGATATTTTAGGAAGAACGTTGCTGCCCATCCCTCGCCCTCCCTTAGTCGCTAATATGCCTAGACACAAGTTATATTTTGAGTTTATACAAATTAGGTTTAATTTTGATTACAAGATTTTCTTTTCTATTTTTTTTTTAAATATCTTCTATAGTTCTGAATCGATTTTTTTAAAACAATAGTATTTACTTCTATGTTATTTACATATTAATCACTAGCTTTTACCTGAGACTTAATCCACATAATCAAGATATATTAATTAAATGATACAAACAGTAGACTGTGTCCTTTTTCATTTCAAATACTAGATAAAGTGATGCTTAATTTTATGACGATTAGTTTACTATTTTTTTTTGCATAGTTTTGTTAGTATTTGTTATGAAAATACCAAAGATTGATGTTGACAAAATTTGCTTTAGTTCTTGTATTTTGAACTTCTGTATTTTTAAAAATTTTACGAAATTAAAACTTCTAATACTATAAAGAATACTAAAAATGCGTTGTAATTAAGTGTATTGTTAGTTTTTTTAATACAGTACTTAATACATGTAATTAAAACTTAAAGGAAAATTGATGACCATAACCAATTAATTTGGGTCGTTAGTTAAAAGTGGCGTATTGTTAAATTTCCCGAACCAAACTCTGTTCTAAGATTATTTACAAAGTAACATGATAAAACAATCGTAGGTAGGTACCTAATAATTATGAATAAGTAAGTTGTGGCGAGATTTCCGATGTATTAAATAAAACAACAAGGAAAGAGACGACCAGTTCAAGTCCGGCCATCGTTGAGTGACCACGTCCAATATGAAGGTCTTAATTTGTTGTGAGTTTATTTATATATTTTTTTATTTTATTTTTGTCTATAAATAAATCTAATTAATTAGATAATTATGATTACATTTTGATTATAAATTGGATTTATTACATTATTTTAAAATTGTTGACACATCACAAATATATTTGTTTTAATTTTACCTTCAATAGATTACGAAAATTCAGAGATACTCATTCATTTTCGTATCTATTGTTATTATAACTGTAATAAATATATAAGTACAATAATATATTTATACTTTATTATTAGGAATCTAAACCAGTTTATTAATTTATTTATATGAAAAATTAAATACAATATACCATAAGACCATACGATTTGAATTATTTGCCTAAGAACTTGACCTTGTACTGCTAGATGAAGAAATAAACATTTGTGCATCATAACAACCACTTAACGGTCCTTTGTTGACTATATTAGCAACAAAATGACGTAAAACCATTGAGCAAAATAGCAAATAAATGCAATCACAAAACATTGGGATTCCCTAATGGCAAATGATATCAGATATTTTCCGCATAAACTTATTATTCTTATTTTCCTATGCAATCATTATACAATTCGCTGCAAACACCTTCTGTTGCAAACAAATCATAAAATCGTGACCGGTTCAATTAATTCATTCGTTTCACACACTGATATTAGTGATATCAATGTTCTCGGCTGTGTATTGATAATTATGCATAACGGAATCAGATTCTGTCAAACACTATAACTTCTAAACTATAATTTTCGGTATTATAGGCTTAAATTAATCTGTTAAAACATAACTATATAACAAAGTCAATGTTCGTATTTCCGCTTACTTCCTCTAAAGCAAGCAACGGATTTTGATACAGATTTTATTATCATTTGGATATTTTGACGGAAGATTTGTATGTAGATTCTATTCTAATCAAACTGTTGTCGTATAAGTAGATAAATTGAATAATAAATTGGGCCCCATATTAAGCCGATGCCAGTCGCTAGTAGGTAAAAATTTTTTATCACTTATGATTAAGTACATAATCGTATAATTTGAAAATTTTATATTTATGCTTCATACGTTTTATAATTTATTGTTTAATTAAATTATTATTCTTTATTTTATATTTGTTTATTTTGCACTATACTATATTCAAATTAATATATATCTACCTATACTGAATTTAAATAAATTTTATGTAAAATCTACTTTTATTAAATAAATAATAATAACTAAAATTAAATAATAATAACTTTATTTCCTTTACATAATGTCAAAATATTGAATATTATTTTCACGCTGATAAAACTAAAATTAATTCAATTATAATCGCCCTTTAATTATGTGTCTATTAGGTGTCAACTTACTAATGGTTCCCATTAATTGCTAACCTTATTATCTATCTTGCATGATATTAAAATAATATTAAATGTCAATAATATAACCACTTTATATGTGATAACAAAATTTATTTATCCCTTTAACGAACTCTTGGCAAAGATAAAAAAACTGCTGAGTCCATAGATTACGATAATCGTATACCATCAAGCAGACTGTATGCTTCATAACCACATAATAGATAGTCTTACAAATTATATGAAGTAATACAAACAAATAAAGAATTCTTTTTCAAACGTATAGGATTAGCTTTAAAGAAATTTTATTTCAAATAAGAACATAATTAGTTTTGTTTTTCTATTCATTTGCTTATCACGTTGCACCGTCAATTATATTTTCTGTTATTCCAGTCTACGATCAACTGTCAGATAACACCATAAAGTGTTAAGTCATATTTATTAAAAAATCAAATATAATGTTATAAAGCTATTTTTATCGCAATAATAAATATGGGAATAATATTTAGCAAAATATTTTTTTAACATTTATTCTCTAAAACTCATATAGTATTTGGCTCTTTGAACATACAAATAGTTTTTGTTTCGACCTGAATCTAAATGACATATAAACCATTGAATTATAATAAAAATTATAAAACTTTAAAAAAATATATTAATAAATATGCTAATATAATATTGATTTTTATTTATTATCTGACACTGCTTGGTAGTTTGCATTTACAGAAATTATTAAATTTAAATAATTCACTTCAAAAAGCACCCAGCTGATGATTTTCTTTGTTTTCTAAAAAGTAGCAGCTGAGTTTCTTGCCCGTTCTGAAATTGAAATTACATAAGAAATTAAGAATAAAATCATGACTATACAAAAAAGTTAAGCAAAATTAAAGTTCACTTGAATTTTTATTTTTTAATTGTCGAAAACAAAAATATATTTTAATAGATCCTTGCCATCCAATTTTTATATCTATTTTTATAATATTTTCTGTTAGGTGTCTAAAACTCATTAATAAGTCTTTAAATAAAATGTATTTGTGTTTGGCTCTTACCTACAAATAGTTTTCGTATCTACCTGAATCTAAATGAGATATAAACCATTTAACTAGTACTGAAATCGTTAGGATTATAAAACCATCACATAATATGAAGTTCTATATACCTAAAAATTCCCGCTGTAGTATATGGATCCACTAGTAATAGGTTTTTAAGAAATCCTATCCAAACAAGTGTTCAAATAGGTGTCCTTCATTTTGAGGAAGCAGATCGTGCATATCGTTTAAGTACAGTGTAAACAATTAACAAAAATAATAAGTGTTGTAAATAGCAGGATGCAGTAATAAAACATATATGTATTTGTGATATAAAATAATAAGTTTAGTGAAAAAATACGAGACATGTCTTATAAAAATCTGACATAGAACAAGCTTCAAAATAATACATTGTTCTAAAAAACCTCAGTGTCAACAGCCAGTATTAAAACTTCAACACGCCCTCTTAATCCTGGATGTTGACCAGCAACTGTTTGACCGCTGACTGATTGCCGCAATATATTACGATAGCGTTAATATGCCCCGTCAGCTCGGAGAGTAAGACACGGACGTACACCGCTTCTCTTACCGCCTCCAATAATACTATATACTCCGCCTCGGTAAACGAAGCCTTTTTCACCACTAAACAATCACGCGATATGAAATTATTCATCAGATCACGCCGTTCAGTCACATAATTTGTGGCTCCTGAGTTAATTTGCAACGAATTTTCTGTATCCGCACTAGCAGTGTATATCGACAAAACACAGTTTCCAGACAAAACTCTTTTCACTGCGACAATCTTTTTTTAAGATGCCATTTCTGTCTACACTTTCAGCACCACGGTTCCTTCTTATGATAAGAAGACTGCTTCGCATTCCTTAACTCATCTTTGTCTCCTTACGCGTCACTCGTTCCGGATGTACTCGAAGCTGAAGTGCTTTTCTTCCAAGAAAACAAGCATTCATTCGATTCACCACGAGTTGTCCAACGCTTTTCTTGTAATAATTTAGTCTTCACTAAACCAACTAATATTACAATTTCCGAGTGCTCACGTGCCATGGTCATGGATTCGTACTCCAATGGAAAACCTTGCAGCATAATTGCCCAAAGAAACTCATCATCGATAGTTTTATTCGTACTTGCTAACTGTAGAACATACAACAAAACTTGATCGACACACGCCTCCATATCAACAAAGTCTTCCAGTTTTATTGAACAAAGACTACGTAACGTCTTCAATAAGTACTATTAAGTTCATATAGATATGTATACAAAGACTTTAATTAAAAAAAAAAAAACATGGTAACTACACAAGTCAAAAACCAGTTTCATCAGATGAGGAAACAAAAAGTGTATTGGCTCTGCAAATATAGATTCTATTTATACCTTCAGTGATAATTTATTTCGTCTCCTTTACTTCTTATATTTACATACACATATTTGCTTATGAATCTATTGCATTTATAAATCTACATTACTTTTTTTGTACGTTTAAAATGCAATCATACTATAACATCTAGTGGAAAGTGATAATTATTGTCCATTAATGTGAACAACATCCACAGCCAACGTAGAATATACTTTGATTCCTGTGCAACGCCTGCTTAGTCATGCCCGAAGATTAAAGTGTTATGGTTTCTTAATCACTTATTTATAACAATATAACTAAACAATACAACAATTGTTTTATTGTAATTATTTATGTCGGTTTTAAATTCGGAGATACCCAACTAAGGAGCAGAAGCCAGGAGTCATAAGTGCATTGCATGGTCACGTTGCAAGCAGCATTCTGTCGAGTTCGAAATTTGTTGGGCATTCCCGAATTTAAAACGTCAATAAATAATTACAACACAGAATCACTCATGATTGTTATTATTCAATAGCCGTCTGATTGCTAATTTCTTTGACTGTTTAAAAATAAACATACTTCAGTCTGTCTTTCCACAATATTTGTAATTGCAAATAACAGATCTTGATTACACATATCTATATATATATATATATATATATATATATATATATATATATAGAATAGACTTAAAATGTTAGTGTAATATTCACTAGTATTATTATTATCAATTTATGACTATTAATTTACATTTAAGAGACTACATGATTCTACTAACTGTGATTGGTAATTGTGAGCTGTGTATACGTTTATTTTAGGGCCTTTCAAATATGGCTGCATTATGCATAAATTGTCTCAACTTATAAATTATCAAATTGTAGATCCCAATCATAAAACTATCAATTTAAATATATTTCAAATAAAAACTATCACTGAGTTCCATAAACCATCATATGCATTTGAATGTACCTAATGTTTAAACTGCTAACCATTTGTTAGAATAATTGTAAATAAATTAGTAGTTTAATATAACAAGGGCTAATACGTAATACTATATACATATAATACTAATAATAAGTAATAATAGCTTATACGAACCAATGATATCATATCATAAATTTTTTATTTATTTTATTTAACTTTTGCAGTAAATAATGCTATAGCTGAAATAATTGAATATAAATAATTCTATAATTCATATTTATAATAAGATTTTTATTTTGAATTGTTCCTTTAAAAAATACAATTTTACTCCAGCTATTAAATGAAAAGGCAAAAATGAGAAACGACGATAATTTTAACCATTCCTCGTTGTTTATAATCTCAACAACAACAATAACTAACATTCAGTATTCAAAATCTAAGCAACTGTGTATATTTTAAACTAATATAACAAAAATAACACTATATTATTATTATTATATTAATAATATTTTTACCATATATAATCTTAGAACTGAGAATTGCTCTTCTTTCTTTATATATAGGTTGACAACTGTGAATAATTCATACAAACGGAAATATACAGTACAATATAGAGTTCAAAGTGATTCCTTTTATTATGAATAGCCGAGGTTTTCCCAAGAGACTACAGCATGGGGTTCTTCAAAAGGGATGTAAAAAGGTTTCTTCAAGGTCGACAATGCACGCGTAATACCTCTGGTATTGCAAGTGTTCACAGGCTACGGTAACCACTTACCATCAGGTGGGCCGTATGCTTGTTTGCCACCTCAGTGGTATAAAAAAAATCAATGGAATTAAAATTTTCTTTGTTTAGGATTAATTATTTTGTTATTATTTCAGTAATCGGAATCGTAACCGCCGTGATAGCGGTAGACAATGATGTGGCAGTTGAAAAAGTCCTCAAGGAAGGAAACGATATTTTTACCTCGAGGCTATTTCCTGTAAGTAAAAAATTTATATCTATTTATTTTTGTACTCAGCATATCATATCATTAGCATTATGTGTTACAACGCATACAGCTCTTAAATTAATATTAGAGGCACTACATATTTTTACCGTTCACTACCCACATTTTATGTAAAAATTTTATCGTTTTTCAACCAATATTTAATAATAAAAAAAAATTCACACCCTTAAAAAGATCCTAACAATTTAGATTTCATTCTGTATTATATAATTTAAATATATTTTTAAGTATCTAAATATTATTATTAATATATTATAAATATCATCATTTTAGCTGTTATTTATCCATTTCTGAACATAGGTCTCCCCCATAAACTACGATAAGAAACGGGAGCATTCCTTAAGTTTACCATTAGAGGAATCTTACCAGTAGTTGCCACGCTTAGCTGGCGGATTGACAACCGTAGTTTGGCTTATGGTGATGTTTTAAGAGAGACACTGCTGCCTAACCCTCAACTATTAAGTTCCCTTAATTGCCTCTTACGACACCTACAGGATAGGAAGGTGGACCATTCTATGCCGGGATCACACGGCGTTATCATATATCATAGATATAATAGATGATATTTCTATAAATCTTATGACCGATCACTGTAGAACCTATACGTCTATACATTATGACTGTAGTATTATGATTATAGACTGTAATGCACGTTTAACACAAAAACTACCAAACAAGCTTTAATATTTTTTTATACCACTGGGGTGGCAAACAAGCATATATCCCACCTAATAGTAAGCGGTTGCCAAAACCTATAAACGCCTGCAATAACAGGGGTATTACGCGCGCGTTACTAACCCTGAAGAAACCTCTTTACACCCCTTTTAGAGAACCCCATGCTGTAGTCTCTTGGAAAAACCTCAATTGCGTAGCGATAATACAATTACCTGTTAAGAATAATTGCAATTTACTACATCAAAATGCAACGTAAATAATTCTCTTGAGAAAATATTAAAAAACCCCCTTTGTAGATTCTATCGCTCGTATAACGAAGTGTTTTCCACGGGATTGTGTAACATGAAATGAAACCATCGCCCACTATCGATAGAAAATTCATTCCTATGCTCCAGAATGTAAATAACCAATAAGAGGAGTTTCTAAATAATTTCCAGAGACTACATTGGTTTCTTTAAAAAAGGTTTCTTAATAATTGGTAATGCGCTCGAGATATATCAATCAAAGAAACTATAAAATTGTTAACAGCTATTCTAAAAAAAATTAAATATTTACTAAAAAGATGATCCTACTAATTTTGTTAAAAATACAAGCTAAAATTGGTATTTATTTTGTAGGAGGTGGTAAAACAGCATCCAAAAGAGAGCGTCGTTCTATCCGCCTTCTCGGTGCTGACGCCGCTTGCTCTATTGAGTCAAGCATCAGTTGGTGCTTCTCATGACGAACTCCTCAAAGCCATCGGTGTACCTAATGACAATGTTGTAAGTAAACTACTATGTACTAAAAATTATCTCCTGCCACTTCGTCGGCATGACCGGGATTATGTTTATGGTCTGGGACAAAGTCTTCTCCGCTCCAAATAGTGCATGTATGCCAAATTTTGTGACTATTAGCTGAACAGATAAAATGCCAAGAGTTAATGAACAAAATAAAATTAAATAAATAAACAAACTGACTATTTATAATATTAGTAAAGATGTTTTCTTACAGATTTTTGTTACGTTTTTAATAATATTTCATACGAGTGTAATATATTTACTCACCCAGATAAAAATTAACATATATCTTTGTACGTATAAACAAATTTCATAGGGATTGGATAAACCATTAAGGCGTTATAAGGTTACAATCAAACAAACTCACTTTCACATCTACATATAATATTAGTAAGGATTTTAGACATATTTTAGATTTATTAATACAATTTGTTGTAAAAGTAATACTATAAATGAAAGATTATAATTAGACTTACCTATAATGTAGTTCTAATTTTAATATTTATATCTGTTATCTGTAAATTTCCCCGAAAATAAATAAATAAAAAACATCTACTTGCTTAATATTATAAACAGTACGACAACCTACTACCCTGAATAACAATGTTTTATCAGCCGATAACGATGTTGTGTAAATAAATTTGATGCTTGAGACATATTAATTGTATTATAGATTAAGAATATCTCCTACAGTTTACATTCGTAAACAAAATGAAATATTTATTTGCTTTAAACAGACATTTAATCTAGTAAAGGCCACGTGATAGAACTTCAGATACCATTTTCAATGCCTTAAAATTCTAGGCATACAAATTTAGTGTCATTGTTTTAATTAAACAGGGATTTATTTATTTATTTATATATATACACATACACCTAGAGGGTACCTCTGTCCCATTCGTGTTTCAACTGTAAAGCAGTTGTGTTTGCATGGCTGTGTTTCGGTTTGAAGGGTGGGATATGCCGTGAATTTACAGGGTACAGAGAAATAACACCTGAGTCCTCAGGAATGGCAACGCATGAGGGATATCATGGGCGAAACAGTATACTCTGTTATGTCCATGGTACTGCTCATGTGTATAGGCGACGGTTACCACTTTCCATCAGGTGGGCCGTCAGCTTGTTTGCCATTCTAAGTTGTATAAAAAAAAACAAAGAAATACGTAAAAATATCTTTTCTTTTTTACAGCTTAAATTAAGTCAATTTTATATAAACTCAAATTATTCTCTTTTTCAGACAAAAGAGGTGTTCTCATATCTGAAAACCAATCTCCGATCAGTGAAGGGAATAGAGTTGCGAATGGCAAATAAAGTGTACATCCCCTTACAGTTTGCTCTGAATGATGACTTTGCAGCTGTATCGAGAAACGTTTTCGATTCTGAAGTCCAAAACGTTGACTTCACCAAGAGCCAGGCCACTGCTAAATCAATCAATGCTTGGGTAATTTTGGCAGTTATCATATTTAATTTATATTATTTTATTGCAATCTTGAATAGTCTTAGCTTGCCTCAAGTCGAGACTGTCCAACGCTGAGAATCCTAACTTATAATAAGAATACATATATTTTTATATATTTCATAATCTAATAACAATCATAGATGATATTTTATTCTGATATTTAGTTCAACCCGTGTAATTTAAAAAAAACAATAATAAAATACTTAAGTACTGCAATGTAAAAGGCAGATTAATAATTTTCCTTTATAATTTTCGATAGCAACAAATTACGTTTACAGCAAGTAAATACTTGTTTATATACTTCAGTACATCACTAAATCACTTTCATAATTTAAGTACTTTCTACTTAACATGCATACAGACTTTAAACACATATTACTAATATTTTCATCGTAGGTGGAGAGTCAAACTAACAATCGTATCAAGGACTTGGTGTCTCCTAACTCCTTAGATTCTGACACCCGTGCAGTGCTCGTCAACGCTCTTTATTTCAAAGTAAGTATTTAATGAATAATGTTAGCAATCTTCTCAAGTTTAACAAGTTCCTTGCGTAATAAATATATTGTATTAAACTTAGAAATCAGTTAAATAATACATACACACAGAAGATTTTATTCATTCAATTTCTCCTATATGGAAACTTTGATCATTGGTGTATAAAAGAAGTTAATTTTAACATCACATTTAAAACTATAATCAACATTAAGTGCATAAGAAACAAAATAAATTGTTGTGCCCAAAAATAGTTCCTTAAACTTGTTGTACTTGGTAATCTATCTCCTCACAATAAAAAAATTTTTATTAATAAGTATGTCCATTTGTATTAGTATGATTATTTTCTATTTATAATATATACAAAAAGTATTTGAGTTATCTGATATCCGTAGTACAAGGTATAAATACTATTTTTTTAAAAATACATATAATTCAAAATCAGATTAATTAGATTAATATGTAATTACAATTTTACACTTATTTTTAAATCACAAAAATGTTTACTAAGACAAATATTATTTACAGGGAACTTGGAAAGAAAAGTTCAATAAAATGTTTACATCTGACCAAGATTTTCATGTGACTAAAGAGAAAACAGTTAAGGTTCCTATGATGTATAAACAAGATACATTCTTATATGGTCAGAGTGATGAACTGGATGCTAAGGTAAAAGAATTTACTATGATTTTGTTTAATTAAAATTTTACAAAACTCGAATATTAAATAATAAAAAATACCTATAATGTAAATTTCGATTTAAAAATAGGTATTAAGAATATTATAGTAATAACTTTATAAATAGGTATACTAATTTTATCACATCTGAGTCCTCAGGAATGGCAACGCATGGGGAGTATCATGGGCGAAACAGTATACTCTGTTATGTCCATAGTACTGCTCATGTCTATAGGCGACGGTTATTACTTTCCATTAGATGGGCCGTTAGCTTATTTGTCATTCTAAGTTGTATAAAAAAAAATTAATCTCAGTAACATATATTACCAGACCTGTCCTATAAATAATACCTATTATACCTTCGAGAACTAGACATAGACATTTCAAAATAATTCTAATGTTATTCATCGCCTCTTTTCAGCTCTTAGAATTGCCTTATGAAGGAGACGAAGCATCTTTCCTGATTGTGCTACCCAATGCAGTCGACGGCCTTTCTGCTCTTGAAGAAAAACTGAAGGATCCTTCACTGTTAGAAAAAGCTGTCAAAAATATGATTAATCAAGAAGTTGAAGTTCACTTGCCTAAATTTAAAATAGAAACTAAAACTGACTTAAAAACTGCTCTTCGAAATGTAAGTTACCTCACTTAGTAATTTTTAAAGTTTTCAAAATAAATCAAACAGGAAATAATGCTGCAGTCTACCTGCAATTAGCGTTTATTTTTTTAATGAAATAATCCATTTATTGCATAATATTAAAGAACAATAAGAGCAATATATATATATATAGAATACATGCCTTATGAACCCAGCATAGAATAGGTCAGCCCTTCCTTTCCGGTAGGTGTCGTAAGAGGCGACTAAAGGAACTTAATCGTCGACGGATGAGCAGCAGCGTCCCTTTTAAAACACCACCAAGGCTTAACTGCAGTTGTCAATCCACCTGCTAGGCGTGGCAACTACTGGCAAAACCCCCCAATAGGGAGAGGCCTATATTCAGAAGTAGACAATCAACGGCTGATTTGGATCCATATCCATATATAGAATATATTCGCCTAATGTCTTCTGTATTAAATAATTAATCATGTAAGTTACATAAGCATAAATAATTATCTAACTATAAAACATTTTCAGATTGATGTTAAAAAGATTTTCACTAGTGAAGCGCGTTTAGATAACTTACTAAAAGATGTAAAAGAATCTCTATACGTAAGTGAGGCGATCCAAAAAGCTTTCATTGAAGTCAACGAAGAGGGTGCTGAAGCAGCTGCAGCCAATGGTAAGTATATAACAATGAGATTTTCAATTTTTTTAGTTTATTTAGTAAACTAAACATTGAAAGTACTTAGAATACGAGCTGTGTCAAAAATTTCTGTTCAAAATTTCGTGAGTCCAGCGACTTCACATGTAAGCTCATCAGCCAATTTTTCCTTTTGCGTATACAGAAATATTAGAAGATATTGAAGCGTTCTATTTTGATTCAATCGTAATTTATTGTATATATGTTTAATTGAGTAATTTCTTAACGCAGATATAATAATAAATGCAATGCAAATGAAAATGCAAAATTTATAAAAATTAAAAATAATATAAATTTACCAAGAAGCTTAACGTGTGCGACAAGCAGCTTGTTCATCTTTGAAACTCTTTAATCACCAGACGAGCTAACAATTGCCTAATGCTAAAACCCACATAATGTAATGTATTTTATTAAATATATAGTTTTTTATGAGAGAGAGAAAGAGAGAGAGAGAGAGAGAAATAATATAATATTTCTATGATTTTGAAAAGCATAGAAGCAGGTAGCTCGCCTGATGATGTGAAGTGATAACCGTCACCTATAGACATGTACAGCATCCTGAACATCATGCGTAACCATTCCTTAGGAGCATGGTATATGCCACCATTTCGTGTAATTTCGCTGCCATATTTGCCCTTCAAATCAAAACATAGTCACAGCAAAAAATGATTAAAGCAAAGGTACCCAAGAAAATAACTTTTATACAGTTTCTCCCTGGTATAGTATTGTTCATATCTATAGGCGATGATCATCACTTTCAAACAAACTAGCGCATTTACCCTTCTAGTAATATAAAACTAAATATAGAAGGTGTTACTGAAGACGAGCCCAAGGTCAAACGATTTATCAATATGAAGTATTGACATTCCAATGTCAAAAGGTTATCTTTTATATGTAAACATTCAAATATTTCGTGATTGTTTTTTTACCTAAACATAATACTTTTATTACAAATACTACAGATAAAGACCCCTTGAGCTGCAATATTCTGTACAAGTTCTGTACAACATTTGAGTCATAATACATAAAAATAATAATACATAATAAAATAAACTTAATTGCTTTATCTGGATGTGTGATTTTTTTCTTAAACATAATTTTTCTTCGTTATAAAAATCCAATGAATTTAAATATTTTAAATAATTCTTAATAAAATTCAAATATAATAATCAATCCACCAAGCTGTTCCGTTTATAATAGTTCGATAGACCGACTTATCGCAAAACCAAGGAATAATAATATTACCTTATTTAGTGCAGCATTATATCAAAGCAACCAAAAATAATCATATTATGTGAATCATTAAATTCTTTGCCAGTACTTTTGACATTCCGCGATTATTATTATTTAGCGATTGTTTTGACGGCGCACTACCTAACAGTGCTATTAGAATTTAGAAATCATTTCATTTTACGGTTAATATATTATAATTTAAAAGTAAACATTAGCGAATAACTTATTCATTGACAAATCTTTCCAATTTACGTTACAATTCTGTTATACTTGTATATTTAAATTATTTTTTCCAATGTATTTCTACCTTCCTCTTTTTCAGCATTTTTCGAAGTTGGTTCATCCCTTTTTCCTAAAAAGAAACCTGAATTTTTCGCTGATAAGCCTTTTTATTTCGTATTAAAACACAAGAACTACCTACTTTTTAATGGTGTATTTGTGAAACCTAATATAAAATAAAGTTAAGTATGAAAAGAAGATATAATAATAAGAATTAGCTGCAATTATTAACTTCTATGTTTGTCATAAATACATGGTAGATGGCGCCAGACCTAGTAACGTTCAAAATTGAACAACTAATAACCCTCCTCCTGTGTTTTCATGCCTATTTATAATGTAATTTACACAAAAATGTACATAATTATATTTAAATAAAAAATAGACACAGCATATAAAAATAGAAATACATTAAATTCAAACTTAAAAAATCGGGTTGTCGCGTAACAAATTAAATCTACTCTTATTAAATCCGCATCTATAATTTTATCAAAAAAGGATATACATACATTAATTATTATTGCGATATGTGAGATAATTTTCCCATAAATGATTACAAATTAATTTGTAATATGTTTGACAGAACTTATTATATTTTTACAAAAGACAATATAGAAAAAATGATTTATTTAATGCTATCAGCATAGACTTAGGGCCTTAAAAGTGGTCTGCAATTATCTGACAAAATAAAATATTATTAATTATGCAATTATGCAAAAAAAAAACTTATTATATTTTTATCTAGTACCTTATGTTCAGTGCATACAGGTGGCTCAGGGCTGTTCTTTATGAAGGCAGTCCATGGGAAAAGCCTATGTCCGTGTGGTCAGTGGACGGATAATGGCTGAAATGATGATGATTTTATGTTATAATTCCAATATAATATTTATTTCTACCTTCCTCTTTTTCAGCATTTTTCAATGATGGTTCATCCTTTTTTCCTAAAAAGAAACCTGAATTTTTCGCTGATAAGCCTTTTTATTTCGTATTAAAACACAAGAACTACCTACTTTTTAATGGTGTATTTGTGAAACCTAATATAAAATAAAGTTAAGTATGAAAAGAAGATATAATAATAAGAATTAGCTGCAATTATTAACTTCTATGTTTGTCATAAATACATGGTAGATGGCGCCAGACCTAGTAACGTTCAAAATTGAACAACTAATAACCCTCCTCCTGTGTTTTCATGCCTATTTATAATGTAATTTACACAAAAATGTACATAATTATATTTAAATAAAAAATAGACACAGCATATAAAAATAGAAATACATTAAATTCAAACTTAAAAAATCGGGTTGTATCAAAGTTGAATGTTTCATTCTAATATTTACGAGTTTCGATATGTATTGATACGATATATTGGAATAAAATACTTTAGAGTATTTATCATGGAATAAATATTCTAAAATATTTTATAGAAGTATAAAATACTTATTTATTAAATACGAAATGTCAGTAGTCAAAACACAGAATTTGGTATCTACCCATTTAGATCGTATTTCACATTACGCTATAGAGCAAGGGGTTCCCAAACTTATTTTGTCTACTTTGAAATTAAACTTACTTTGAGAATAAATTATTTTTTAGCGCCCCCATTTTTTCACCTACTCAAAAACCACTATTACTTCAAGATCAATAAATCACCCCCCAAGCCTCTACACAACCCCCGTTTTTTTTTCTGGGTCTCTTACCGTCCCCCTTTAGGCCTGCAGTATGCGTTACCGCCCTCATCACCGCTCTATACCCATCGACATTGAAATAGGGACAGACAACAGAAGTGCCTTTGGGTATATAAAACCTACATAGGTTACATATATTTTTTATTAAAATTTATTTTCAAATATTTCCGAATTTCAACAAATCTACCTTGAAGCTAGTAAGGCTCTACTACTATCTACTAATATTTATCTTTTTTATTTAAGATAGACCTACAGGTCCAAATGTATCTGTCGCAAAACAAATTAAATACCTACTCTTATTAAATCCGCATCTATAATTTTTTCAAAAAAGGATATATATACATTAATTATTATTGCGATCTGTAAGATAATTTTCCCATAAATGATTACAAATTAATTTGTAATATGTTTGACAGAACTTACTATATTTTACAAAAGACAATATAGAAAAAATGATTTATTTAATGCTATCAGCATAGACTTAGGGCCTTAAAAGTGGTCTGCAATTATCTGACAAAATAAAATATTATTAATTATGCAATTATGCAAAAAAACTTATTATATCATTATCTAGTACCTTAAGTTCAGTGCATACAGGTGGCTCAGGGCCGTTCCTTATGGCAGTCCATGGGGAAGGCCTATGTCAGTATAGTCAGTGGACAAATAATGGCTGAAATGATGATGATGATTTTATATTACAAATCTAATATAATATTTATTTCTACCTTCCTCTTTTTCAGCATTTTACTCTTTTGGTTCGTCCTTTGCTCCTAAAAAGAAACCGAAATTTTTCGCTGATAAGCCTTTTTATTTCGTACTAAAACACAAGAGCTACCCACTCTTTAATGGTGTATTTATGGAACCTAATACAAAATAATGTTAAGTATTTCATACTAAAAGATATAGATATCCAATTAATAATAGTAATTAACTGCAATCACTAACTTTTATGTTTGTCATAAATATATGGTAGATGGTGCCTGTGTCAGACCTAGTACCGTTAAAAATTTAATAACTAATAATTCTCCTTCTGTGTTTCCATACCTATTTATAATTTAATGTATACAAAGAATTACATAATTATAATAAAAAAAATAGATACAGCATATAAATAGAAATATATTCAATTCAAACTTTAAGAATCCAGTTGTATCAAGGTGAATAGGGCCTTAAAAGTGTTCTGCAATTATCTGACAAAATAAAATATTGTTAATTATGCATAAAATTTGCTAAATACTTATTATATTTTTATCTAGTTAAAAAACGATCTGAAATATATGATGACGTAATATGGAAGTAAACAACATGACTGTCATTAATATTCCTTTGCATTCTTAGTAGCGGTAGTAAGCTTAGTAGCGAATCTGAAAGATTTTGTTATTCGAATAGTAAATACTAATTTTATCAAATAGTAATTACTAATTGTATTATTCGGCTGCAAAATTATCAAAAACGTACGGCATCTAAAAGACAACATTGAATTCTAAACTTAATTTGCTAATTAAAATAAAAAAGAAATTAAAATTAAATATTCGTAAACAACAATATCTATTTGCTTTCCTTTAACCAAAAGTTGTTGTAAGAGATTGCCCTAGCGATAAAACCGTTTATTTACCTATTATTATATTGATGCCTCTGCTATTGCAGGCGTTCATAGGCTACCGGAACCGGTTATCATCAGGTGACCCGTATGCCTGTTTACCTCAGACCTTTACCTCAGTAGTATAATAAAAATAAACTTTATTCACTTATTTCATATTAATTACTGCACAGTATAAGGTATATACACAGCTATTATAACGAAGTCCCGAAGATACAAATACACGTTGTTCTTTTTTCAAAGATTTTAAATTATTTTTTTACTTTTAGGTAATATAAAATATTTTTCTGAGAAAAAAAATATTGGATACCGATTAATGAACTATAGCATATAACAGTAGCATATCTTATATATCTACCTCTGAAAAGAGTTATCTACATTCACATTTTCGTATAATATTATAAATGCATAAAGTATTAATCTTTGTGCATTTTTTAAATTAAACATAACTCTTTCAACGCGTAATTAAACAGTTTTAGTATTATATAATCCCTGTTGATGATACTTTTTATTCTTTTATATTTACAGAAATAATGATCGAAAATCGTTCTGGTATTTGGATTCCTGTGCTAGAAATAGACCGACCATTTTACTTTCAACTTAGACACATTGATCATGCACTATTTAGCGGAGTCTATGTGCAACCCGCCGTCGAGTAGACAAATAATTATTACTTACATACATTAATAATGTTACCTTATAATTAGTTAGATATGATTAACGTTTTAAAATGAAACCAAAATAAATTACCATTAGCAGATTTCACAAACAATTTGTACTACTATATTCACAAAGCACATTAAGAATATAACATTATTTTTAATTTCATATAAACCGGTTCTTTTATTTGTATTCAAAATGTACATTAAGCTTTATCACACTTCTCCCTCCCCCCCTCCCCCTCTCCTTATTCCAATGACGATTAGTGACCTCGTGAACTTCAGATATTCCACCATCCGTATTTCTATTTACAGCAACAAGAACAATTTCAGCAATGTTAATGATAGCTCACATTTGGTTTATCCAATACACTGAACTCCTCCCTCTCAAGTCTTCTCTTTTGCCAGTGTTAATCTATTTTTGGGCATTACGGCCAGACTCTTGGCGTGCATGCCAAAAACCTCAAATAACCTAGGTTATTTACAATCTTTTTTTTTTTCTTTTTTATTTGTCAGCATAATTCAATTGTAATAGAAGACACTTAAATGAAATCACAAGTACAGCTAGTTTAAGTTTTGTTGCCATTTTTTAACTATTTCATTCGAATATAAAAAATAAATTGAAAGACAACAAATCTAAAAATTACTAAATTCGGTAACATTGCTTATTTCTAGCCTCTTTTTTCGAATTTATAACAATTTTGTTATAAAAGAGAGACAGTTACCTTTTATGTAAATGCAACTACTATTTTAATTAACGTATTATAAAATATAAAAAAAAAACCTTAATAGTTAATACAAGAATATGAAAATTATTACTAACAAATATTATAACTAGCTGTATTTCATGTCTTCGCCCGCATGAATCAGTACATAAAGTATTCTCTAAGTTAAAATATAACCTCCCCTGTATTAAATTTTATTCAAATCCTTTTAGTAGTTTATACTTGAAATCCATCCATCTGTCCGTTCATCGTTACAAACTTTCATATTTATTAATAGGATATACAGAATAAAAAATTTAATTTTCAGGATTCGTAAGTTTGGTAGTGGGTGGTATCGTATTACCAATTATTTCCATGGACAGACCTTTCTACTTCGAACTTAACTACAAAGATACACTTCTCTTTAACGGTGCATTTGTGCAACCACCTGTTACATAAATATCATAATAATAATCGTAGATTAATTTAGCATTTTTTGCAATGAAAGCTCGAATTTAATAACTGCTTAAAATCAGTGAAAATTAAAGTTTAGATTATAAATTTTGATATGTCTAATTTATCTATCTATTTGTATGTATAAGTAATTTTAATTTAATTTTAAATTATATTATTTAAATTTAATTACTTAAATTATTTCTATAAAAGTACCTTTAACTATTTAAGAAAATTTTGACTATGAGATTATATAACTTGACATTAAAAATAACTTATTTAATTTATGTAGTTAAATAATATGTTATTATTAAATATATATGTATTATATTATTATACTTTTTTTTCATTTTATAACTATTTCCTTAATTTAAAATATGTATGTATGTGTATCAATATAAATAATTTTATGAAACAACCTACAAATGACAGATTAGTTTACCTATCACGTCTATCACATATATTAATATATAAAAATCCCGCGTCGCAATATTCGTTATTAATGCTTAACAGATTTTAATGAAAATTTATAAATATGTATTGTTTGCTGTATCTTAAAGGATAAAATATTTTTAATCCGATAAAAAGAAAGAAGTAAAACATATTGTATTCACTAATTGTGTGAAATTTAAATTTAGTACTTGAAGTATCTTATAATAAAAGATTCCTAATTGTTTTTCAAATAAAATACAACCTACGACGAACGAGTAACGTTGATAATTGACGTTGTCTATAGATGGAAGATTTTTTAAAATCGATTAGGTATTATTTGAATTTATCCATTACAAACAAAAAATCAAATCTTTCCACATTAGGCTAGAAGACTAAATACTTTAATTTCATACATACAAAAATATAAAGAATTATTGTTACAATACACACATACTAAATATAAGTGACAACTTTTATGACATCTCAAGAAAAGTGCTAAATAATTATGAACCTAATTTATTTTTCAATTATGTTGACTCATTTTTTTTTTAGATAAAGTGCTCAGTTTAGCTGGATAGATATTATTGATTTGTGTACCAACAAGAAATGTCATTAGTATTTACATATTTTTTCTTTCAGAATTTGGAGCTGTAGCTACGAGTTTATACATTGCACCTTCTATTGTAGTGAATAGACCTTTTTACTTCGAACTTAAACACAAAGAAATACCTCTATTTAATGGAGTATTTGTAGAACCCGCTTTGTAAATGTAAATGTTCAATTTTAAAGTAATTACCTACTTACTATTAAAAAATAATATGCAAATAGGGTTGCCAGTTGCTGCTTCTTTATTTAAGAGTTGTCATTATAACTTAAATTTTTTCGGATGTAATTTTTATACAATGTTATGGCTGCTTGAAAATATTTATTCCTCCAACAATAAAATTGAATTCACATTGCACTACAAGATTCTAAAGTCGAAGAGTGACAGAAAGCTAGAGAGAATGTACAAGTACATGTGCCAACCCTGGTATTCGTAATATATCCTGGATTTCGGTATAGGTAATAAATGGAGTAAGCTGTAAAATACGTGGCATCTGGCAATCCTAAATGGGAAATTACTAATATATTTGTACAAACACACTATTAGTATAGCGTAACATTGCTTCAACTCTGAATTGTAAAACTTTTAAAATAGATTTACAAATCTTTCTCCATTCGGTTACAATGAGCTTATAACTAAAAAAAAATACTCGCAGTCTCGATTTATATACAAGCTGTCCGCTTTGGCTTCGCACGGGTGTACTAATTCAGAGCATTTTCTTTCATGAATACATTTTCTAAATTTTCCCACTCACTAAACTCATCCCCTTTTATATATTTAGATTTTTAACTCAAATTTTCTTTTATACAATCTTATCCTAACAGTTGCTAATACAACAAAAAAATAATTAACCAACTGCAGTCGTTCTGAAGTGATACACTTATATATATTTGGCAAATGAACTTTATTTATATAGATGTAGCTATATCTTGTAGCATGAATTAAGGTAAAAAATATCCTATACGTGTGAATCTCGGATACGATCAATATATGTACTAAATTTCATTCAAATCCTTGCTCCCATAGACGCTGAGATGACAATTACTCGTAATTAAATAACACACATCTAAAAATGCAAAATATCTTTATAAACTTTCACTTTTAGTATTTTAGTACGATTAGGCATTATTTAAAATTAGTATAACTTGCCATTTATAAAAATTAGTTTTTAGCAATTATTCAGTATTTTAAATTCACAATTGGGACTCACTTACTACTTTTTGTGTACATAACTAAATCCAGACTAATCTATTAAATGTCCAAATATTTTTACATTTACATATCTAAATATATTATTAGAACTACCTTACATGTTTTTTGATGATTTATATGATTACACCCTTATTTTTTTTACATATGCCAGTCAAATCAATCGTGTTCAAATTTAACCTACAATATATGTAATATAATATGTTAATAAATAGAAATGTATTTAATAATAATAAAACCTAATGTTGCAGGCGTCCATATTCCACAGTGACCGTTCACCATCAGACGGGTTGTGTGCTTGTTGCCACCTTCGTGGTATAAAACAAAATACCACTAGACATATTATACAGCATCGTCTAATCTCAAACTAGGTAAAACTTGTACTATGATATTATTAACAGCTGATGACTGTTCTTAAACTGCCATACCGCCAAAATTGACAAAAATTTGTAACATACGTATAATATTCTATTATTATCGTAAAAGACTGATTGCCTTAATTAAAAAAAAAAATATTAAAGAATATTTATATATTTCAGAATTTTATGAACTCGATTCCTTATTTTACTTCGTTCTGCCTAGATTCAAAATCGAGATAGATCTTTTAACTTTGTATAGCGTCACAACAACTAACCTCTGTTTGTCGGAGTGATTGTAAAAATAAAATAAAAAAGGTAATTTTAAAAATAGTTGCGACGCTTGGCAGGCGGGTTAGCAAATGCAGTTAGTCTTTAGTGATGTTTTTAGAGGGACGCTGCTGCCCATCCCTCCCACAGGAATGAAAAAAGTGGCTCGTTGTATGCCGGAGCCACATGGCAATTATTATACATTACATTTTACATAAACTTCATCTATTTATGCAACATTTCACATTAACCATTCTCTAATGAAACTCTTTGTAACTTATTTTTACACATCAAGTTATATATATACTTACTTACTACTATTGCTTAGTCTTACACAATTATTACTATGCCGGGACCATGAGGTCCCAGTATAGTAATAATTGTGTAAGACTAAGCAATAATTGAGAGAAGTAATAATTGTAGAATACGCTACGAAATACGATAGAATACGCTACCCCTTCCTTTCCCGTGAGTGTGGTAAGAGACGACTAAGGGGGCGAGGGATGGGCAGCAGCATCTCTCTTAAAACATCTCTAAAGCATAACGGTTGCCAATTGGCCTGCCAAGCATGACAACTACTGGTAAAACCCCCCCAAGTGTGAGGCTTATGTTTAGCAGTAGACGATTAAGAGCTGATATTATGATATAATTTTCTAAATACTTAACTATAATGTTACATACATTAACTAATAAGAATAAGTACCTACGTAATAAAATTACTACAAATAGTAAAACCGATGACATTTGTAGGCGGAGTAGGTTCTATTGTCAGTATTTCAAATGTGTCGTCATCTTGTTCTTTATATCCAATGAGGCATAGAACATACATGTTCTACTCGTATGTTTCAAGCGACAGAAAGACAATATCATCTAAATAGGGTACAATTAGAATACATGGTAGGCATATACGAGCATATTTATATTATTTATACCTATTTTTGATATTAATTTACATCGGGCTATGTTGTAAATAGCAAGATGCAGTAATAAAACATATATATATTTGAGATATAAAATAATAAGTTTAGTGAGAAAATACATGTCTTATAAAAATCTGACACAGAACAAACTTAAAAATAATACATTGTTCTAAAAAAACCTCAGCGTCAGCAGCCAGTATTAAAACTTCAACAGGCTAAATCCCGATTGTGTATTTAAAAAAAAAGTCATAACTGTTTTAAAATAAAAAAAAATCTATCTTTATTCACAAAAACATTAATTGTCTTCTTGCAAATCCTATTTTAATTATTGAAAGGTTGAGAGAAATTCTCCTAAAAAAAAAACAAATAATACACTAACAGTTTAATTTTAAAGGACAATTTACTTTTTATGAATAAAATAGTATCTGTGTATTTCAGAATACGTTATTAAAGGGAAGTCTCCCTTCATTCCACCTAGTATCAACATCGATAGATCTTTTCTTTTTCGTAGGTATATACGAGTATTTTTAATATTTATTTATTGCACTGCAATAAAACTCCCTGTTAGTAAAATGATATCACTTTATTTCAGCATTTCGTGAAGGTTCGTCTCTCATTCGTATATACACCTTAATTCAAAATCGATAGACTTTTCTACTTTGAACTACGTCACAACAACAAACCTCTATTCAACGGAGTGATTGTGGAACCCATTCATTAAATAAAATGTACTACAATAATCATTTATTGTGCAGTTTTTAGCAACATTTCACATTAATAATTTACAATAACATTATTATTTTTATTTAGAATGTAAGTTATGTCTTCGCCCTCGTTACAACCAATGAAACTTTTGACAACTTATTTTTAGTTATATTTGTTGTTACTACTACTAATTACTTTGTTGTAGGTCTAAGACTCTAGTTTTATTTCTAAACCAATACTGTGTAGTATAAAAATCTTTTTTGACCGCTTTAACTTTCCGTTATTTACCATTTGACCTATATGTCTAAAATATTAGGCAGGATTTATACACAGAACTAATTTCAACTATATTTTGTATTAAAATTAAAAAAAAAGTATTCTTAATATTACGACAATTTTTATTAATTAAAATACCTACATTATTTTTCTATAAACATTATATATAAACATAAGCATAAACTTATTTTTTTATAAGTATATAGTTAATAAACACAGCAGGCATTCATCTGTTGGTGTAAACTAATCCCGGCAAAACCATACTGTCACAAAGTTTACTGCGTCCAAAGTCGTCCAAAGTAAATTTAGAATGTACAGAGGAAAGTACGAAGTGCTCCTTGAATCATCCCAATGCTACCAACTTTAAGCGAATTGTCCAATATAGTGACTTTGATATATTTTCATTATCCAACAGCCCTTAATTTTTTATTTAACCATCACTAAATACTTGTATTATTAGTTTTTATCCGTGACTTCATCCACATGATCGGGATATATTGATTGATCAGAACAAAAAGTAGTAGCTAAATTTCATGACCATTGGTTGAGTCATTAAAATGCCAA